CTGTGTCAATATATATATATTTCCCCTTTCTTCAAACATATCTTTCGTATCTTTCTATTTACTCTCCTTCTCCCTCTCACTCTTCCTTACAACACTATCTATGTATCTATCTACGATTTATATAGCTATATGTTTATCCATTTGAGCAGATTTCGGTTTGTGAAACAGATTCTCATTCTTCAATAAGAGTGGTTTGAAGCTGTTCAACGCTTGTTGGAGGAGGCGAACGATATCGAAATCATCTCTTTTCTTGTCCCATAAGGATTCCATGGGATACATGTCAGGAGAACGTGTTGGCAAGTTCCTAGGTAATTCCTACATCCTCCAACTAATGGATGACAACTCGACCTAGGTGCGGTCGAGCATTAGCTTGCATTAACACGAAGTTACGAAGTTGTCCCCAATAAATAGAGCGAATGGTACCACAGTTTTAATACTTCCTCAATGTAACTTAGAGCAGTCAAATATCCATTCTGTGTAATAATTAGTTCAGTGTGACACAGGCATGGCACATGAAACAAAGTGTTCTTCAGTCTTCTTCACACACGGCCTCGGTTATCTGATCGCCAGAAAGCAAACCGGCATTCATCTGTGGAAAAAACAACCTCCACTGTTCAATTGTCCAAGCGAGATGCTGATTCGCGAAAAGTCGCCTTTCTACTCAATGAAACTACAGTACTAGATTACCTGATGCGGGACTTCTTGAGACTAGGTTATTCTTCTGATGACTATTTTAGAGCTCACCCTTACATTAAGAACTGTTTGGATTGGATTACCTATCAAGAAATCCGTTAAATGACGTTCCATAGTGTGAAAAGAGCATTCTTCGGACGAAACTTCCGATGGCCCTAAACCAGTAGTACAGAACCTGGTGCGGGACGTCTAGATACTAGCTATTCTCGTGAAGCCTTCTGATGACTGTTTTAGAACCCACCTTTACATTACGGGCGTTTGAAAACTTGACTACTATCAGGGAAGCCCTTAAATGACGGTTCCGTAGTGTAGTGAGAGCAATAACACGATCGTTTCTAGTTGTCGCACATCGCGGCCGACCACTACCTTCTTTTCGATCGAGACTTCTGGTGGCCTTAAACAGCTGTAGATGGTCTTGTTTGGTAGAGCGCGGCACAAAGGCTATGTAACGGACGCTATGTCGACCAAAGCGTCTACCTGGACGAGTTCTTCTCAACCGTGCTTTTGAGAAATTTTTTTTTACTCAAATTGATCGTTTCATTCAAGAAGACTGTTTACAAACACAAATTAACTCACTCAACAAGCTGGCTCTGGAAAGGATGAAATTGAACTGAAATATTTAAACTTTATATTTAATATAAACAGTGTAAAAGGATTAGTAATACTCTATAAAGGTAAACAACAAGTTATTAATTTTATATTTACGTTTTAAATTATCAATTAATCTTTATACCTATTACGGAAAGTAAACCAATAAATACAGCTGGCCTTTGTTTTGTCTTTGAGCGTATGTCCATCTCTCTCTATTTATCTATCTATCTATCGAAAATACACACATATCAGAATATTTGTTGTAGTGAAAATACATTTCTATATATTTAGCTGTAAGCAATATTAAGAACACTAACTTTGAGATTTCTCCGACCTGTAATTTGGTAGTTACAGATCATTTTGGTCTTTTATTTCGGTTTTTTAAGTAAAGGGGAACTTTTATCAAGTATTACTGATGTTTTATATAAAGGTATATGACTGAGCGAGTGGAGTTTCTTTTACGCACGTAGCCCATTTTCTTCAACAAAAGTGAAAACAAATCATTCCAATTGGCAGCAAATTTTACTTTTAAAGCTGCAAAATTCCTTATTGCGGTCTAGGGAGTCAACAAACGAGTTGTTGCATAACCGGAATCGATTCTGTGGCGTTTATCTGGGTTGCGTAATGATTTCCAAAATCCCTCTGCCGCCTTTTGTATTATTCGACATGCAACTCGGACACTACAGAAGGGCGATAGAGCCTAGATAATATTCGTCGGTTTACCACTATAAAATAAAATTACATCATGACTGACATGAAGAACGTTTCTCAGCGAAATATATGTTCTTGGCTTTTCTAGGAAGAATCGGATCAAAAGGTTGAGGGTTAAAACATTCATATTTAACAAAACTGTCGTATTACCTATTATTCTGTAATGTGAAAATCGGCAATAAAAATAAAGTGGTCTAATTAACATGGAAACAATGCAATTGAAAAAAAATAAGTTATGTACTCATTTATATTGAAATCTATTGTTTGCTTTAAAACAAACTTGAAAAGCTAATGAATTATTTTAACGAGAATATAACAAAACTACCACAATGGTGAAGCTGGGATACCCTCATTTTAATGAAATTTATGAAAATTGAGCCTCCTATTATCACCTGGTAGTTGGCGAACTTACGACAGACGCTCGAAAAGTTATTCAAATTATTCCTTGGATAATTTTTTCTTAATAAGAGTTGGGTTTTGTTTTTAATTGCTGTTTTGCACTGATTTGCACATCATTTCATCCCAGGTCATTGGCTTATTAATTAACCCTGATTAAGTGCTAAAATATGTTTGTTGATGAAGGAATGCGGGCGAAACTACATATTCAGTGCGACCATTTTTGGCCATTAACTTGAAAACAGGAGTGAACCCCAACTATAACCAAAGTAAATGAAAATTATCACCTTTTTCACAAATAAATACGTTTTCAATCCTTTCATTTCGGTTAATTTTACGATAAAACAGCTAGCATAAGTGTCTTGTTTTTTTCGGTTCTGATGAAATCGGCATATTATTTGCCTATGTAATCGAAATTTGAGTTTTCTATTATTTCAAGAGATGTCAACGGGTGATGAATATATATCACTCTCTGCTTTTATATATATAGTGCATAGCCATCTACCTTTCTTTCTATTTACTCTCACTTCTCTCTATCTTTCTGTCTCTGTCTGTTTGTCTCTCTCTCTCTCTCTCTCTCTCTCTCTCTCTCTCTCTCTCTCTCTCTCTCTCCATATATATTTTTTATTGTGTAAGATGTTGTCATAAATCTTATATGTATAATCAGTACTTGAACATGTTAGAGAGATAGAGAGAGAGAGAGAGAGCGAGAGAGAGAGAGAGAGAGAGAGAGAGAGAGAGAGGGAGAGAGAGAGAGAGAAATTTAGAAGGAGAGTAGATAGAAAAAAAATATAAATGGATGGTTAAATAGACAGATAGTATTGGAAAGTGAGAGGGTGAGGGAGAGTAAATAGGATGATTGAAGAAAGGAATGTAAGATAAAAGTTCTTAAAAATAAAGGCAGATAAGCGGATAGATGAAGAGAAGCAGAAAAGTTGAAGAGAGAGAGAGAGAGAGAGAGAGAGAGAGAGAAATTTAGAATCTTCAATGAAATTAACAAAAGAGCCAAAAGCAGAAAACAACAGTTCAGATGTTATGTTTGTTATTTTTTATTGTGTAAGATGTTGTCATAAATCTTATATAATCAGTACTTGTTAAAATGTTGACTCGTGTTACATTTGTTTGATGTTTGAATAGTTGTCAATATCAAAGCGAAAGAATCAAAAAGCTTGAAGAAAAAGGTCTCTGTTCGAAAATTGTGTGTCTGTGTGTATGTGTGTGCCTGTTTTTATGGTGCGTAGTAAGTTCGTGCTTTGAAAATAATCCTGAACCGGATAAAGGTTTAAGTAGAGTGGTGGGCCTTTCCTATAGAGACCAATTAGAGTTAAGCGCCACGCCGGTTTTGTGACCATGTCGAAACGGTCTGAAATTTCTGAAAAGAGTTCTGTCCTTTGGAGACGGTAAATCGATAAGAATACAAAATCCATTTGCAAGACTACATTTTAAAGAATGGTAGCAAAGGTTTTTGCGAGACTGGAGATTTTGATAATGAATAAAATAGAAAATATTGGTTTTAATCGATCGGTCAGAAAGTCAAATAAGTGCAGTGAATGTGCAAATACGGTTTTTCAGATATGGAAAAGTATCGAAGTTGGTAACAAATATCCTAAATTGAGAAAAAAGGTTAACATTTTGCAGTGTGGTTAGAATGAGGGTAGATAAGAAATAGGAACAGAGGAAGGAAGAGTTGGACGTTTTTTAAGTTTAATAATTGAGTCTTTGTTTAAAAAAGTTTTAAAAAAGTAACTTGCTAAGAAAAATGATAAATAAAAATTGTAATTTTTTTTTAAAAGACGGACAGATAAAATTTAATCTGTAAAAAGTACAGCAGACCAATCACCTCTAACTTCATGGAGCTGATGAATCCCTTGAACAACAGGAAGGTGCCGGTTTCGCAAAATTCTAAAAGTCCAAAAACGGTCAGCCTGTGGTTCTGTTACCCCAGGGCGTCCAGAACCGGGCCTTCTATGGTAGGACCCAGTTTCTCGAAAACGTCTAACGGCGTCTCGGAGTGTTTCCTAGGGAACTCCGATGGCAATAGCCGCATACCTGATGGAACGTCCATCATCAATAAGAGCCACACCACGCGCATCAGCACTGAAGAGGCATTTTTAAGTTTAAAAATTGAAATTAAGAAAACAAAGATGAAAACTAAACAGTTTATTGCTTTCTAATTCAATTGAGGCTGAACAAACATTTTAAATTCCGTTAAAAGTAAACATTTAAAAATCCTCTATCCTTGTTTTGCATTAAGTATTAAGTGTGTTTATGTCTAATTGATGTTCCCAATTTAAAACAATCATAAACAAATATTTACTGATAAAAACAATAAGACAAATTGAGGGCAGAATTTTATTTTATCGAGAAAATGAAAAAAAATAAGTTGGGTGGACTGTTTTGCTTGTCAGTGTATTTTCAATGTTTCCTAATTGTTGTTTAGTGAAACTGGCCGGCTTGCCCGGCGACAACGGCGAACCGGCGAAATTCATCGGCTTCAGCCTTTCGGTGATAACGATGTCGAGGAGCGGCAGGGAGCCTGGAAGTTTGGTACCTCTTGGTGACGCTAAAACAGAGAGGAAGCCCGGCTGCAAGAACATCATCATCAGCACGGAGGACTCTCCAAAATCGGAGATATCCGTCTTCTGGACCGCGCCGGCCAAGGGGACAGGCTGCGTCGTCTTCAAGTGAGTACAAGCCCCGACTTTCAAGTCCGGATTTTAACAATTAAAAGTAACTTAAGTATCTTTGCAAACGTTTAGGGCGGCAGTTGTCGTCGAGGCCGACCTGTGGTACCAAGACGAAGGATCACTGATCAAACAAATATGCGAAAACCATCAACAGAGCATCGACGAGATGCCGGACGTAACACCTGTCTGCTGTGCATGCGATGAGGCCAAATACGAAGTAAGTGTAATTAAAATTTAAAAACCATAATAATTTTATTGCTTTTTCCACAAGAATAAGTTTTTTGGTTTAGTTCGATTTATATGAAAATTGGATAAATTAATCTTTGCACTTTCTGCAATTAGAGAAAATACAATGAAATTGTATGTTTTATTTATTTATTGGGCCAATAAAGACAAAAGGAAGCCAGACGAGTTAATATTCATTGTGAATGGTAATGGAATAAAAAGGGCTCTGAATGGAAAAACAATAAAAATCAAAAACCCAATATTGTCTGTTGTTACGTCATTCATACCTTTTTCTGTATGCTTTGTAATAAAGAAATGTTGCTTTTTTGTATTGATTTATTGACCGAGATAACAGATTTCATCAATAAGGGAGTCGATAAAATACCATCCTCAGCCGTAAATCGAGAACGTAAAAACTGTTGTTTTTTTACCTAGACCCATTGAAAAGCTTTTTGAAGGATGTTGGTTATGACAATATGGAGTGTAATGATCCGAGATGCTTTCCCCTTGACCGCACTCAAGAAGACTGAAGGAATTCGACTCCACAAAGTGACGAGCTTTCTTTACCATTTTGTCGTGAGAGGAGGAAAAACTCATAAGACGACATAACGCACAGAAATTCCTTTGGCTTCCTACGTAAAAAAGACAGGGATGCCGTTTATTTATTTTTGTTGTTAAACACGAAAAATTCCGAGCAAAAGAAAAATATTTTAATACAATATATTTTATTCAGGAATTCGTTCTTAAAATGAATACTTGTTTCTATGTGTTTACATGTGGCAATTTGTATTTATTTGATTAAAAAAGTTATACTTGTAAAAATAAGCAGACAGAACATCTCATATGTGAATGGTACGTCTTCTCTGGGCGTTCCCAAGAGAATTCTCGACCAACTGAAGATTTGAGACCTATTCTCACCCAATTTTCCAAAGTCCAATTTATGCGACACCTATTGGTGAAACCTTTTTCGGCATACCAAATTCCCAGAAATGTAGATCCAGCAGACATGGATAGGTTATAAATAAATCCAAGTAAATAAGGTTCAATGAGATTCCAGGACAGAGGCATTCGAAAAATTTATAAACAAACAAACATAAGACGTTTTAGGTCTAAAATGATGGTAGTACTGCTGAACGCAGAATCCGGAGGCATATGAATAGACTCTGAGGAACAGAAAGAAGCATATAGCAGAAATTTCCAAGAAGAAGAAACAGCAAAAGTTGTTCTCTGTTTGTGCGAAGGTCGATGTAGGCTGAGATATCAACTCCTTGGAAGAAAAACCACAAAGGATACAGTCGTAAGCCCCTAAAAGAGCTTTGGGTTCTAGTGAAAAGTTTTAAGCCGGGAACACGCTTACCCGATGCAACGCCATGTGACGCTACCCAATGCGCCCCGACGCCTTCCCAGGTTTTGGTAGGGTGTACACAGCCCTCTATCGGCTCACTTAAATGCCTGGTGCTTTAAACAAAATTAAATCAGTTGAAATCAACTAAACAAAAGAAAGGAAGAAAATCTATATAAAAAAGCGACAATTTGGAAAAAAGTGAAAAAAATATTAACGCATCATAAAACAAATAAACCAAGCGTTATTTACACTTTATGTTCATAAGAAAAAACTTGTAACTCTCAAAGTTTAAATAACGTAAAAGTAAAGCATTATTCATTTAATTTTGAACTAAGAAAGTGGGTGGTACGATAATTTTGTCATTTAGTTTAATGATGTTTTTTATTCCTTCAGGTCAGCTTCGAGGGTCTCTGGTCGAGGCACACACACCCAAAAGACTTTCCGGAAAACGTTTTGACAAGGTTTAGCGACGTAATAGGAGCTTCTCACACTTTTGATTACAGGTATTTAATTAAAAACCAGAGGTATCAAGGTTGAATTCAATCAAAGGGTCAAACACTGGAAACTCACTCTGCTTCTAAACTGCTCAAAAATGAATAGGGATATTGCTAACTTTGTAGTATTTACTTTCCCTAGCATTTTTATTTTAAGTTGAAATAAAATTTATTAGAAATTATTATGTTTCTACTGAAGGTCAATTTAATTAAGGGATTTTGAAAACAAAATAAAAGGTTTTAATAACTTAATTTTGTTTATTGTACAAAATAATTTTTTAATCAATTAATACCGTGAATGGTCCTCTGTTACCGAAAACCTTTAGGCCTTTCAAAAGGAATTTCACTCCATAGATATTGCAACTCAGTTGTTGCCTGCCAATGGCCGCATGGTGATCGAAAAGTCTTCTCTGCAACGTATCTCACATGTGCTCAATGGGATTGAGGTCTGGAGACAATGGGAGAAGAGGCAGATGGGAAATTCCCAGGTTTTCTAAACGTTTATGAACAACTCTGCTGCCTCTAAGAGGTTTGGCATTGTCATCCAGAAATCGATAATCCCTGCCAATGAGATCCCTGGTTTGAGGGATGTATTCCTCGATAAATGCGTGGACATAACGGATTGTGTTGAGGTTGCCTTCAACGATATGGATTCCGGTTCCTCCAGTGTAAATCCCAGCCCAGACCATTACACCGCCTACTCCAAACTGCACTGCAGGGAGCACGCGCAGGGAAATTGTACGCATCCCCTGTTCTCGGTATACTCTTCGGCGCCTGCTATATGTAGACAGAAACGCGACTCATCATTAAACATAACGCACTCCAATTGGTGTGCTCTTCTAGGCGCTCGCTGGCTGCACCATATTCTCCTGGGCTATTGCTGCAGGACGTCTCAAAGGGGCTACGATGTGAGGCCAGCTTCTCTCAAAAGATTTCGATCGAAGGCCTTGCCAAAACATCTTGTAATTCATTTATGATCTGGCTGGCACCATCGAAAGGGTCCTGTCTTGCAGCAATGACAATATTTCTTTCTTCCCTTAGCGTCGTAATGCGCTCAGATCCACTACCAGGCCTCCAACTGGCACTTCGGAATTGGGCTAAAGCCCGGGAGACCATGCTTTGAAAAACGCCAACTGCCTCTGCGATATCCACTTGCCGATGACCTTGATGACACATTGTCACAATAATATTGCGAACTTCATGTATAAGATGATGTCTTTCCATAGGCAAAGAGACTACAACTGAATTAAAATGGAGGAAAAACGAGAAAAGGTGTTTCTTTACAAAATGAGCATTCTTCAAGTTTACTAATCTTAAGTAAATCCGTTATTAAAAATGAAGGTCAACAAATTTTTTGTTTTTGGTTTGTATTTTCTATTTTGTTTTATCCACCTAACAAGAATATATCGGTTAATTTAATTAAAATTAATAGAATAAGAATAAATTACAAATATCCTTATTCATTTTTAAGCAGGTTAGTTGGTTTATAAATTGTATAAGGTTTGTATAATGTATTGAAATATATAGTTTAAAAAAGGGAAATTTTTAAATGATTAATTGAAATATGTAATAAAAAGAATCCGTTTTAATGTGAGAAAGTACTATATAAAAAGAATGGAGTAGGTTAAAAGAGTGGGTCAGAAGTAAAGTCCATGATGACAGATGGAAGTATGATTGATAAAAGAAGCTAGGATAAAAGATGATCGATGGAGACCACATGCACCGATTGATGAGACAGTGAAGATTATAGAAAGTAAATAGATTTCTCGACCGGAGAAAGACGACAAGTTGGTTAAAAAAAATATGTCCATTTGTCGAAAGGAGATAAAACGCGATAGCTGTGTCGTCTTTGAAAATAAGAAAATAATGTTAATTTTTTGTTTGTTTTTCAGGTTTTGGCAGTACGGTGGAAAAGCGTCCGAGGGTTTGAGGCAAGTGGCCGAGCTCGGTTCGACCAGAGTCCTGGAATCTGAATTAAAATCCGAGGTAAAGGATCTAAACAAATTCATTGGCTTTCGTCAGCCTGTCGACCCTAAACAATAGCTGCAATTCGGCCTTTTATCAAGGCCGATAAATTGCCGAGAAAAGAGGGCTGCAATTTTGAAACGGCGCGGTGAAAACTGAGTAATGCGGTAATTTTTATCGCGGGCGTAATGAAGTTCCGGATTACAATTTGAAGACGAATCACCCCGTGTAACGACTCTCGGATAAAAGGACTTAATATTTCAATCTTGCGGGGGGAGGAGATAATCCACCGAATCGAACCCGCCGCAGGCCTCCGAGTCATTAATTTTCAACCTAGACTTCCAGATCGAACATTAGTAACATTACTATGAAAAGTTTTGCTATCGGATAAACGAGTGTGTGGTAAAAACGGATAAGCTGGCTTATAGAAGTTTATCAAAAAACTTAAAAGGAAAGTTAGAGGCTTTGTAAAGCTCAGTTTTCAATCAACCCACTTGTTCTTCAATAATTTATCACCAATAAAATTATATAATAATCACCCAAATACATCCACTTTTTAACTCTATATGTAATATTTTATTTTACCTATAAAGGTACATTATATCTTGGCCTATTAAGCCACCAGATTCATCATCCCCACAGAGCGTACAAAGAGATCTCCCAATTATATTATAATAACACGTTTTCTTTTGTTTTTTTCATATAACCACATCATTCTAAAATCTTTACTGGGTCTTTTTAAAAAGAATTCCAACGCCTCAGACTTGCAACCTTTGACGTCTGAGTCCAGATGAGATTTTGATCCATCAATTTTGTCATGAGGGAGTAAAAGTTCTAGAGTAGAATCAATCATTTACACATATTTGGCTCTTCCCCCAGCTATAACTCTGCCGACATTCCGTTTTGAATGGGAAAAATTCATTTTTCAACCTTTTTTCTTACAGAGCGAAAATATAAGGACGATAATAAAAGCGAGAGGGATCACCTACCCGAACGTCACAAGTAAAACTTTCGCGGTATTCAGAGTGGACAACAAAAACCATCTTATATCTTTGGTTTCTATGATAGGTAAGTTAAAATTAATTTTCAATAAATACAAATGGACAAACTGTATGTAAAAGTAGAAATGTCGTGGTTCCATTCAATCTGCAATCTACGTAATCTATCAATCGAATCTATCCCTGCTTACGTCTATTAATAAATATGGTATTTTAGAACTGATTAAATATGTATTGCGTATTACACCAAAAAATTTATCAATACATATGTTTATTAACATTACGCAATTATCTATAACAATTTATAAAATATTCATACGTTCTTCTATTTGGTTTTATTTTATAGCTAATTATTTATATAGTTATGTAGTTTTATAGTTCTCTTAAAATATTTTCAGTGATTCTTAGTTTGGCTTTTCTATGTATGTATCGTCAACTAAATCTATCTGTTCATGTATTTTTTAATTAACCATCTCTACCTACGTCTGCCTGTTTCTTTTCATCACCTTTTTGTACATTCTGTGTCAAGTTCTATCTATCTATATATCTACTCGTCTCCATATATGCACCCACGGTATTATCTGCATTTTTGTCTATCTAATTATTTGTTTATGCGTCTATAATTANGCAATGTATTCGCTACAAATATTGAAAGAGAAGAGACATAGAGATATATAGAGAAAAGGAGAGAAAGAGAAAAAAAGAGAGAAAGAGAGGAGAGAGAGAGAGAGACACATAGAGAGTGCATAAGTGCATATAGCGTATGTTTTCTATATAGACGCAGAATGAGCGGAAGATAAAGATATGTAGATAAAGGGAAAAGGAGAGAGACAGACAGTGGTTATTATGGAAATGGATAGAAAGAAGAGGAGAGAGACAGAGAGACAGAGAGAGAGAGAGAGAGAGAGAGAGAGAGAGACCACATAGCAAAAGATTTACGTATATAGACAACAAATAATACGTGTTCAATAAAAAGCATGCATATAGCGAATGATTGATAGATAGAGATATATAGTCAAATAGAGAGAGAAAGCATATAGCGAAAGGTTTGTATATAGGTAAATGGTGAAATAGAGAGAGAATGTATGTGTTCAAAAGAAAACATGCATACAACGAAGAGAGAGAGAGAGAGAGAGAGAGAGAGAGAGAGAGAGAGAGAGAGAGAATCCTTGCCATTTGCTCTTAAAACTTTCTTTCTACGTTTAATTTATTTTCCTTTCTAATTTAGCCAATATGTACATAATGTCGCTTGAAAGAAAAAAATCATTTTATCCATCAGTGAAAACCTGTGAAAACACTCGATGGTAACTGACTTCTTTAATCATTTAAACCCTGGAAGATTTCTTTCATGAAAATCGATGATTTTAATTGCTTGGAAAATTAAAGGAAATACTCAGTTTACATGCAAAACGCAAGTAATTTCAATTACGTTTTACGCTGAAAACGATTAACAGTTAATTAATTGAACGGCCACTCTAGTAACTCAGAATCCGAGATTAACTTTCTTTATTAATGAACTTACTGTGATCTCATTTTCTGTTTCAGCAAAGGAAACTTTTTAGCTTTTTTATTAATTTAGAGCCAAGGAATTCCGATTCTAAGTTTAAATACAAATACTATTCGGGATATAATATTGGGTCTATTGGGTCAGAATTTAAGAGAAAAAAATCTTCAAGGGTTGCCCATTTCCATTGCATCTTACCTTCATATATTATTATCATGATTAATTAATAGAAGGGAAGAAAAATTAAATAAGGGGAAGATTTACTTTGCCCTCTCGTTTTTCAGATCCCTCGCCGGATTGGGTCGTTGGAGTTTCAGGCCTTGAACTCTGTCTTTCAAATTGCTCCTGGGTCGAGAACAAAGTTCTGAATCTCTATCCGTACGATGTTGGGACCGACTCAGGGATCACATACACGGTAAGTGAACTTGTAACATTGTTAGGCACGTCTAAGAAAATTACAAATAGCATACGTTACAAGTTTTTACGTCGTTCTGAGCCTTAAATATAAATATCTTTTTGCCTACAGTCACCCAAGTATGTATGTTGATATGTATGCATACATTACGACAAAAATAAATTTTTCTACATGTTAAGAGTTAAAAACCTTAAGTTTTTAAATAAGCGATTGGTTGATTTTTGTCAAAACCAAATTTTAAATATTTGGACCTTTGTATGTTAGTATTGTAGACAATTATTGCTTGGACGACAGGTATACACACAGGAGAATAAAGAATGCTCTTCTCCAATATAAAATAATGACCTATAAATAATAAAAATCTCCTTATATTTTAACCAGCTGGAGGTAAGTGTCACAAGTCAGAAACGCTACTAAAACACTATATATAATGTATAGATTTGTAAATAAAATTTCTGTTCTATTCTAAAAAAATTGAATCTAACTTTATAGCCAAATTGCAAATATTATCCCTTTATTCGGAGCAATAGGTCTGCTGTCTGCAAATATCTCTTTGCTGGAAGTTAGTCCATTCTTCAAGAAGAGTTCTTTTTAGATCATGGATTGTATCAGAAAGTGATGAACGTGCTCGTCTTTTGAGGTTATCCCATAAATTTGCGATGGGTTCAAATCTGGAGAACGGGCTAGCCAGACTAAGACCATGATGTTATGCCGTTGAAGGTACGTTTGTACTATGTGTACGGGTATTATCTTGCATTAGAATAGGATTGTAGCTGATTTCATCGAGGATAGGCAATGCATGATGTCCCAAAATTTCATCCACATAGCGAGTGGCTGATGAATCGCTTGAACAACAGTAAGGCGCCGGTTTCGCAAAATTCTCAAAGTCCAAAAACGGTCATCCTGAGGTTCTGTTACCCCAGGTCGTCCAGAACCGGGCCTTATATGGTTCGAAAACGTCTAACGGCGTCAACAGAGTTTCGTAGGGAACTTCGATGGCAATAGCCGCATACCTGATGGAACGTTCATCATCAATATAGAGCCACACCACGCGCAACATCCTCAGCACTGAAGTGGCATTTTTAAGTTTAAAAATTGAAATTAAGAAAGCAAAGATGAAAACTAAACAGTTTATTGCTTCAGAATTTAATTGAGGCTGAACAAACATGTTAAATTCCGTAACAGTAAACATTGAAAAATCCTTTATCCTTGTTTTGGATTAAGGATTAAGTGTATTTATGTCTAATTGATATTCCCAATTTAAAACATAGCATAAACCAATATTTATTGATAAAAACAATGAGACAAATTAAGAGCAGAATTTTCTTTTATCGAGAAAATGAAAAAAAAATCAGTTGAATGGAAATTTTTGCCTGTGAGTGAACATCAGTGAATGTTTAGATAAAAGTAGTCCAACTAATACATTAATTTGCCTTAAATTAAAATAAGCTTTCTGTTACGCATCTATTTATTTAATTGAGATTACAGTTAGTAACTATCTGGCTCGTTACTACATTCACTAAATGCTTGGCTTAATTATTTTGTTATCTTTCGGTTAGTGGTTTTCAGACAATTTTTCCCATATTTTCTAGTATTAATTATTTGCTTAGACATAAAGCAGCTTGTGGATAATACGAATAAACGTCCTGCCAGTTTTCCTTATTACTATGAACAAATCAGCACAAATAAAAATTACCAGTGACCTCCACTTAGCAATGGATCGATGGAAAGTTACTATTCTTGTCCTCTATTTATTTCATGTATATTATTCTTAGGGGACACCAATCCTAGAATAAAGTTATTTTGCTTCTTCTTTTTCTTCTTCACATATGTTAAAAATATAAAATGGTAAAATAATATACAATTCACTAGTTTTCGAGGTTCGCTTGACCAATCTTTCAATTAATTAAGGTTTTTAGTTGAGATAAAAAGTCAGTGTCACGAGCGGGATTCGAACCCACGATCTTCGGCTAGATACGCCGCTCGATCCACTCGAACACCACCTTCCCAGCTCAACCCCACCTTTTGAATTTTCCCTCCTTTTTGCCCCCCCCAAAAAAAAAGAAAACAACTTAGGAATATAAATATAAAATAGATTGGAAACCCAGAAGAAAAAGGTGAATTTCCATTTACAAATAAATCTTCACTTTTCTCCGTCAACCCTTCCGCAAGAATGGCAAAAAGCCCGAAGTTGAAACTTAAGCCCAATTGTTTCTAACGATTCAACTTCTTATCCCCAGTATTTATTAAAGGTTTTTGCCCTCTTCGTACTAATTTTGACGGACATGGAAGCAAAAAGTGCTATATTAGATCTCATCTCGCGGAGGAAGAGATAGAGTCCGTTGGTTAAAAAAGGAGACAAAAATAAAGCGCAACCCTCTTTTTAATAAGAAACGAAAAACCTTTTCACTTAATTCTTTGCACATTAATAACAACAGAGTTACGAAGAAAACCGACTGTAAATATTTGTCCAGATGGAAACTCTTTTACCCGTTTAAACTTTTTTTAATATACAAAATTTTGCAATACATTGTTATGTAGTGAAGAAACTATGTCGGATCCTCGAGAGCTCTTGTACTTAATCGTTTCGATAAGGAAGTGCTGTGATCCTTGTCGAAGAATGCAAGGTATTGACGAAAATAGCTTCAAAGGTGCAATGGCAGGCCGAGACAAAAGCCCGATCCCTTCAATTCCTGAAAGCTTTTATTTCGTTAAATCGGGTTAATTTATTGTTGAAACAAAAGGGGAACAAAGGCAAATTTTCTAAGCGCCCTCTATATTTTCTCATGGGCATAGATATCTTATCTTTCAAACTATTCAAATATTTCTTGTTTTTTGTCTCTAAATGTTTTCCTTGTTCAAAACATCCACTTAACTTCTAAACTTCTGCTAAAGAAGCGGTGGCACCAAGGTGGTTAATGAATGTCACGACTCACCTGTTATGAAACGGAGCTGTCCGCGCTTGAAATCTTCACGGGATTAATTATGTACATTGTTAAAAAAAAGACAAAACCACGACTTTCAGCAAAACAAGATTAAATTCCAAATAAGCAATAAATCTTGTTTTTGTTCCAGTCGCCGGATCAGCCGACGGAGCCCAGGGACAACATTCGCAGGATAACGACGACGTTCCCCTCGGATCCTAGATCGCCGTTTTACGATCCTTCCGGAAAGGAAATGAAGCCTCTGGCCCGCTTGTATCTGACAAGGCAGAGGCTCTACGAAAAGTCTTGTGACCAAAACGGAGGAGAAATGGCCGAATGTGAATATCTTTAAGTTATTGGGTTGTCCGGAAAATAATGCAGGATTTTGGTATTAAACAAAAAAAAAGAAACTAGTTACTTTAAAGCAATGTTCTTTAATCAAAATAATTTCCCATACTCTCAATACATTTCTCCCAACGTGTTGGTAACTTATTAATTCCGTCTGAGTAGAATTCAGAATTTTTAGAATTGATAAAGTCAATAAATGCATTTTCCAGTTCCGTTTGATTTTTGAATATTATGTGTTCTAAGTAGTGGTCCAGGTGTCTAAAAAAATGGTAGTCAGTAGGCGAGAGGTCCGGAGAGTAGGGTGGGTGAGGCAAAGTTTCATAGCCAAGCTCCAATAATTTTTGTGACGTTACACGTGACACATGTGGTCGAGCGTTGTCATGCAACAAAATGGGCCCTTTCCGATTGACCAAAGAGGGCTTCATTACTGCCAATTTCTGATGCATGGTATTAATTTGGTTACAGTATGATTCAGCATTGATGGTTTCGCCAGGATTTAAGAAGCTGTAGTGTATTAAACCAAATGAAGCCCACCATACCGTAACCATTACCTTTTTTTGATGAGTTGGGGGCTTTGGAAAATATATTGGAGCTTCTCCTTTGTCGAGCCACTGTCCAGAACGTCTAGTGTTATCGTAGAGAATCCACTTTTCGTCACATGTAACAATTCTGGCCAGAAATGGGTCATTTTTGTTTCGACAAAGAAGTGATGCACAAACATCAAAGCGCTGATTTTTTTGGCGATCGTTTAATGAGTGTGGAACCCAATTTTCGAGTTTTTTCACTTTTCCAATCGCCTTGAGGTGGTCAGCGACGGTCGTTTTACTGACTTTGAGTTGCTCTTCACCCACCACTGATCGCAGAACATCATCATTAAGAGAGGAAGGCCTTCCACGACCTTCTTCATCTTCAAGGCTGAAATCTCCCTCCCGAAATTTTTTAAACCACCTTTGCACAGTGCACTCATTAACACAACCCTCGTCCCAGACTTGGTTAATGTTTCTAGCCGTTTGGGCTCCGCTTCGGCCGAGTTTAAACTCGTAAAAGAAAATCGTACGAAATTCTCGCTTTGACATTATAAGGATGACTGAATTATTTCCAAGTAGCGGAATGCTACAGAGGTAAACAAACAATATCATTTGGAAGAGGATTAATAAGTGTTGACATTCATACAAATGAGTAATCCTGTAAACGTAAACAGAATATTTTATATAGATTTTTTTTAATGAAAACTTAAAATCCTGCATTATTTTCCGGACAACCCAATATATCAAAACATATTTAACTTACTACGTCAATAACTTAGTTAGCCATAAAAATATAATGGACCTACAATAAAAACAAAAAACTCTCTTTTACTCATTGGCAAATAAACAAATATAAACAGTATAACTTTTGGATTGGTTCGATATTTATCATATGTTAGATGGACAGCGAGTAGATAACTCATGTTTATATGGGTTAATCTATTTTTGCTGGTTTGAGAGCAAACAATAAAAAACTCCTTGACTTACACCTAGCCTAAGCAACCTACTTTCTTCAGATATATATCACTGACTTAATTAAAATCACCCAGGACAATAAAAGTACACGACTCTAGAAATGCAATTGTAAATAACCAAAAACACAAAATTAATAGCCAACCCACAACAAGACAATTCTGCTACAAAAAGGTCTGTAACAACATAAAATCAATCAAAACAGAATATAACATAGTACATAAATAGACTACCATCAACGATAACCCACGTCATGAAGCATATACATCAGGATTTTTCTTAATCCATTTATGCTTAGTAGTCTAATTGACCAAATTAATTATTTGAATTAATTATTCTTTTTATGTAAGGTCTTGGGTGAGATGAAAAAGCTCGTCTCACGAGCGGGATTTTTTTAATGACCATTATATTAACTTAACGCCTGTCAAGATTAATCAATAGTCAATTCTTCTGCCAGATCAGCTTTATAATTTCTGCAATCCGATTTACTACTTATTATACATTTATTTTATTAAATTGTAAACTATAAAATTATTTCAGGCGCCTTGCATTTTAGTTTTAACAGCTATAAATTTTACACCCACTTCGTTTTAAAACCGATATGTGTAATTGTAATGTGTTGTGGTGTAATTTTCTACTTTTAACTCAGTAAACCAAAATCATTTAATATTATGTAATTTTTTATTCTAACCACGATACTTTTAAATCTATTTTAGCTTATATTAAATTTAAAATCCTTTTCTGCTCTATCATTTCCTGTTTTCAAACTTTATGTTTCCATTTCAATTAACTAAAATAATTTACTGTTAAATAATTTTCTGTTTCCAACCTCTATACATCCAAAAAGGTAACTATCATGCTTTACTGTAAATTTTCCTGTTTCCAATTTTACAAGCCCAGCTTATCGAAATGTCGATTTTAATTATTTTCTAATTTTCTTTTAAATTTCAACCTCTATGAACTACAATCTTTATATAATACAGTTCGCTAAAATCGCGTATTGTTAAGTAATTGTCTCTTTGTAATTTTGGTACAGCCAACCTAGATAAACTCCTTTGCTAGCAAGTAATTTTATGCATCCATTTTAACTTCTATCTAAGTTAACTAAAATCTTTTTCTGTTCTATAATTTTCTGTTTCCAACGTCTACGCTACAAAGTGAGTCAACTAGAATCCTTTACTGTTCCATAATTCTGTTTTCAATCTCTATACTTCCAACTCAATTAAAATTCTTTTCTGCTCCATAATTTTCTTTTTCCAACCTCAATACTCAGTTAATTATTCCGTTTCCAACCTAAAATATACATCATAGCGAAATATCTATTTTATTTGTTTACTATCATTTGTCAGTTATCATTTTTTTTGTATTCATAGAAATTGCGCTGTTATGATATAACATAATATTATCTTAAACAAATGCTTTGAATTTGTAAGTAGTCCGTCTCTTCTTGTGAAGTGCTGTCTTCAAAAGTAGCTCAAATCAAAGATTGACACACAATTCTCAAATCAGTTAGTTTTTTCGTTTGAAACGCTAAATTTGAAATATTTAGCTGATTTAAGTATTGGTTCAGTTTATTTATTAAATTTTCGCAATTCTTACTATTGAAATATCGAAAAAAGAAATAATGGATTTAAAAACAAAGAAAATGTAAGGAAAAATGTCCTTACTCATAGGTCATTCCAACTCTCACTGCATATACTGCTGTAAAGTTTTTCTTTTTTGTTTGTATTTTTTAATTAAACGCGTAAAAGAACGCGATTAATGAAAGAATAAAAATTCATAGTATCTTCAATTCATCTATCATAGTACATTCTTATCAAGTGTTTTTCTGATTGATCGTGTGTTTACCTTTCAAGCAGGTTCATTAAAAGCTTTCCAATATTTTTCTGTTTTTAAGTGAATTACCCTGTTGATCCTTGTGCCGTGAACGCATGGTCGGACTGGAGCCCTTGTTCAGCGACATGCGGCACAGGGAAAAGGTCGAGGCAGAGATTTTACAGGGACGAATCAATGGCCACGATGGAAAATTGCAACAGAGAGCTGACTTACAGGGAACACTGCGAAGCTCCGATCCCTTGGTAATCATCGAGATTCTAGTTGCATAAAAGAATAATAAGTAATTCTTACAAGAATATAAATATGTTTCAGTGGTGAACTTATGGGTCGTGAAAGAGAGGATTACAGCGCTACCTTGTGCGAGGTGACAGAGTGGTCTGACTGGTCTGGATGCTCCGTTTCTTGTGGAGAAGGAACCCGTTACAGGTAAGCCCTTAGGCCCTAAAGGCAATCTAATAAAAATTAGATTACACTCACGAAAACGAGTTCTTAAATGTTTAAAACACTCTTGAGGAAATGGGGGTTCTTGCTGAATCGTAAAGACGGCTTGACAGTTCCATTAAGCTTTTCCTTGCAACTTTCTTGAATTATTATTGTTTTTTTACTTTGTTCCTACCTAATTGGCGGAAGCAGAGGCGAAGACCAACCACTTTAAAAGATCCATCATCGTCTTATTCCTGAAACTGAAAGATATCAATCAAGGCAACTAATTGCCCTTTTCAAGAAAACCATGTTTATTGTTTTTTTAATTATGTTCCTTTCAAAGTTGCATTTTTTTACTTCTAGGTAATATTTAAATAATACTTCCCTTAACAACGATTATCATATCAATTTAAATTCGGCAATAACCACGTAAGACTTAAAATTGCTACTTTCCGATTTATTTATACGTATCAAATAATTTCTTAAGCCTTGCATTTCAGTCTTAAACGCTGTAAATTTGTTACTTTTTTAATAGTGACTAATTGACTGACTAATTCTTAATAACTTAATAACTTTAATAACTTCTTAATAACTTTTCTATGTACTCTATAATTCAAACTTAGCCAATTAACATATCCAACTGTTATGTAACTGTAACAAAGTTTCTGTGTCCATATGCGAGCATTCCAACACAATTCAAATAATATATAAGTAATCTTCTGTTTCCAATCTTTATACTTCCAACTCACCTAACTAAATCGTTCACTGTTCCATAATTATCTCTTTCCAGTCCATATATTTCCAACTCACTCAAATTCTTTACTGTTTAATATTTTTCTTTATCCAGCTACTTTAGTGCCTTTAGCTATATAAATACCATCCAGTTAACTAAAACATGTAACTACCACATAATTTTCTGTTTCTGCTTCCAACTGTTAATTAAAATTCTTTACTATTAAATATTTTTCTTTATTATTAAATATCCAACTACTATACTGCCTTTCAGCTAAATAAATACTGTTCTTTGGACTAAAATCCGTAAATTTCTCTTAACTTTCTGTTAACAATTCGACACTTCCACCTCAGCTAATTAAACTCCTGTACTGTTAATTATTTTTCTTTATCCAACCACTAGACTGCCTTTGAGCTAAATAACCATTCAATTAACTAAAATCCGTAACTGTCCCATAATTTTCTGTTTCCAACCATTTACATACTCCCAAGTCAGATAATTAAAATCCTTTACTCTTAAATATTTTTCTTTATCCCACCAGTAAGTAGACTGCCTTTGAGCTAAATAACCATTCAATTTTCTAAAAACTGTAACTGTCCCATAAACTTCTGTTTTCAACCCGTATACATACTTTAAAATCAGATGATTAACTAAAATCGAGGTATACCGTACACGTAATAATTGCCCGGTGGTTGAATTCGTGAGAAAACAACCACCATTCAAGAAAAATTTCACTAATATTTGAAACAAGTCATATAATGTACTTGTGTTACCCAGTGGAATGCGTTATGGTGAGAACGATGCGTCCAAATAGTAGAGAAAATGACAAAACTGCGATTTCAGTTGTCATACTTAACCGCCTTTCCCGTTTATATTGTTTTCACGTTAAAATACATACTTTTTTAGCAATTTTGTAATAAAAAGTTAAGTATATGAATTATAATTAACTGACAAACTCCCGTCGCGAGTAAAAAGCACTATCTAGTAGCAAATAAATGTAACAACTTCGAAACAGAGTACTAGATGGCGGTACTACGCTTCGTTGGATTATGACTGGATCGTATAACAGACAAAAAATTATTGTATATTAATTAATGGGCCTTATTTATATTGAGACCCTATGTTATTCCAGCGTTAAAATCGAATATCCACTGTACTCTGAGAGCATAGTGCAAAAGGTGTCAAGAATACGGCCACACAGGAGGATATTGCCAGCACAAACCGAAGTGTACTGATGATCACTTCACTCAAGACTGCAGGAAGCAACCTACATCGCCCGTTACATGTGCACTCTGGCATCTGGCTAACCATAAAAGTTGTATCGTGCATAAAGAGCTCTAACGATGAAGAAGGCATCCGACGATATTCGATCAGCGGAGAACTACGCAGCCACCTCTACAGCAATCATCCTTCTTCACACCTTTAAGACCGAACATTAGACCATTTCGCTTCAATAACAACATACCATTTGCTCAAGTAGTCGCGGAGTCCACTCAACCTGCATTCTCCTGTACTGCTCCCACTACTCCCACACCATGAAACACCACTCTTGCCCCTTCAGGAGATGTTTGTGATACTTACTGGGGTCGTTTCTAGATGATTTCAAATCTCTAATCACGACCTTAATATGCTTATTAATGCTCTCCCTCAATCTTTAATCCGAGAATTGTCATTCTCAACATTACCTCGTCGGAGACTGAAGCGACTTGGCCACGCGACAGCTTTGTTGCCTAACATCGACAAAGAATAATTGCCAAATGATCTCCACCCTGTTGGTGAAGATCAAGATTGCCCCATTACTGCATAGATGCCGTTTATGCCTTTATATTCATTTATGTGTCCGTACACCCAACCTGAGTGCACGTTCACATAAAATAATAACAATTTCAACATCTTTACTCGTTGCATAATTAAAGTGCAGTTGTAAATAAATCAATGAATTTAAAAAATGCTTATATTTTTGTTTGAGTTTTTTTAAAACATTCCATGCACTCGGAATTTTATCTACCTCCTAATATAATCCGCGTTTATATAAATTTGAATAATTCGACAAAAGGATAAACCAGTGGGAAAATGCATTTGGGCATAATTTTAGCAAAGTTTAACGAAAACTGACCTAATTTGCCAATTATTTTCTGCAATAAGTGAAACGGAAATAGCCGACTTTGACAGGCCTGATAGCATCGTGATTTGCACAATCCAATTAGCGGGCAAAGTTATGTGATTGAGCTGAATTTTTTTTTTCTGATGGGCCTGAGTCCCGGAATCGATGACTCTTTTGTCGTATTTCAATGGTCCTCCCCGTCTCGTTCTACTAGACAGTGCAGTATGACGAGACAAATCTCGTCGAAAATATAAAAAATGACAGTTTTGGCAAAAAATTCCACAAATACTAACTACTCGTGTAATATGTTATTCACATTTCATGTTTATCATTAATTAATACACTAAGCATAATTTTACCTATTACAATAAAGCCTTAGTTTAATGAATTTTTTCTATATAAATTAGTATCAATTGAAAAGGTGATCCTGCAGGAAGCGATGAGAGAATGGGATCTTTATTGGAGATAGGATAGCAGTCTCATCTGCAAAAGTGTGAATGAATGTGTCATGTCAATGTCAATGCATAGGGAGAACAGACGTATAAGTCAAGTACAGGATGGGGCCAAGGTTATACCCTGTGAGAGTCCAGCCTTGAAGGATACTAAAACTAACAGGATAGAGAAGAATGTTCCCTGGCTGATTTGGACCGCTGTGTGCTAAATTTTGAGCTATGGAATATGGTACCCTCACTATGAACCCGATGTAGACCTACCACTGAATAAATAGAGACACCTGGCTCAGGTGGAAAACGATTTGCGTGAGGATTACACTTCGTGCTTCGAGGTATACACAGATGGTAGTCGCATTGACGAAATGGTGGATTGCGGATTTACCAGGAGAAACAAAATAGAAATTTTTCAAAGAACAATCATCATGGTGTACCAACAATCAGGCGGAGCTACTAGCAATTAATGAGGCCTTAGGATGGTTTTTACGCTACAACGGTCATAGTGCAAGAACTCTACAGCAGAAAACAGACAGTGCAGTCTCCCTTGCTGTGATTCAAGACCACATAAATCACCTCCTAACTGTAGAATCAATTAGGAATACGCTTTCGATTTCCTTGAGGTGGGTCAAGGCTCACGTGGGACACCAGGGAAATGAAAATCCGACGAGCTGGCGAAAGATGCGGCAAAAAAGGAAACCTTAGCTATTTCATTTATGAAAGTACCTCTTTCCTACATTAAAATACAGGAAGAAAAGCTAAGCTTATAAAAATGGAACGATATGTGGATAGAGGGAGATGAGGGCGTAATTACAAGAAGCTACATTCCATCAGTTCACGACAGAAGGAACACCACCTTTGACCACACGTACAAGACTCACGGGACACGGGAAACATCATATTTGAAACGATGTGCGAAAATTGTCCACTGTCATTGTGGAGGTGGAGAACAGACATGGGTGCACATCATTCAGGAGTGTGGGCTGTACGAGAGCAATAGGTTCCCCTTGATTAAGAGCATTATGACTAGTGGAGGAACATGACCAGAGGATGAAAACAGGTGCCTGCCAATACAAAGAAGACTTTCTGAGTTTCGCTAATTCATTGAATGTCCATCAACTCTAAAAACTTATACTTATCATTAATTGTATCATAAGTAATTAATTTATTGCATCTAATGGAAATAAAATTACTTTAGTAGTTGAATGTAAAAAAACAAAAGCAAATATTGATGTAACAGAACACTCAGTTAGAGAAAACCTGTAATCATAATGAGAATGGGTTAAAAGAAAAACAATAAAGTTCTCAACTGGAGGGTTACTGTAGTGGGACAAAAAAAAGTATTAATTGTTTGTTAAAAATGTCCAATAATCGTATAATTTTGTTTTTGTTTCAGATTTCGAAGGATAAAAAACCAAAAAAATTACAAGAAATGCACTGCATACTTCAACCATCCACCGCTTAGGCAGGAGGAAAAATGTGTGGTTAAAAGCCAGGACTGCAAAGATCTGCCCATGGTAAACGAGAGTTTTAATTGAACAAAATTTCGTAACAAATTTTAACTTTTGATTTCAATTTTGTATTATTTAAGAACTTGCCTTTCACGGACAAATGCGTGCCGGGCCCATGGTCGGAATGGTCCGCGTGTTCGGTCAACTGCGGAATGGGGACGAGAAGGAGACACAGGGAAATCATCAGCCGTACCTGGGGCGGCGGCCCGGATCAGTGCTCCCACATCTTACAAAACGAAACTATTACATGCAGCGAAAAAGCGGGTTGCGAGTTGACAGCCGAACAAGCAAGAGGTAAAATAAAATGCAATCTTTCGGGACAATTTTTTTATTTATATATTTTTTTCCAGAGGCGTGCCAGTCTCCAAAAATGCCAGGACCTTGCAGGGGTCAATTTGAAAAATGGTACTTCGACACGTCGACACGGAATTGCATGAAGTTCGTCTATTCCGGATGCTGGGGCAATAGAAACCAGTTCGACACGCAAGAAGAATGCGAGAAAACTTGCAAAAAACTTAAAGGTAGTAATCAAAACAAAAAAAAAGCTTAAATCCACATAAAAATAAAATATTTAAACAAAATAGAATTTATATTAAATTATCCTTATTCTTTATCGCTGCCCAAAGAGGAATTGATATTTAACAATACGATGAAGCTCAAAGAGCTCGGTATATCTGAAGATCTCTTTATCAAAACGAATAAAACTGGAAAAGGTTTGTCAAAAAATTTCCAAAAATTGATTTAAAAATCTCAAAACTGACTTATTGAAGTTGAAAAAAATTGTAGAAACAATATAATAATTTGCCATTAATAATTACATATCGGACCATTAGGTGACAGGAGTTTAAACGGCCCGTTCAGCGGATTTGACGCTGAATCACAAGTCAAAGTCTGGGACTACGTAAGCTTCTCGTTGAGATCCATTATTTTATTACGAACATTTATTATTGTTATTGTCATTAGGTACCTGGTGGGGCGGAAGGTCCTGTTGTTGATTGCAAAGTTTCACACTGGTCCGCTTGGTCCGCGTGTTCTGTCTCCTGCGGACGAGGACTAAGACAAAAAACAAGACAGATAATCGTAAGAGACTCTGTTATATTCCCTTGTTTTAAACATTATTAATAAATTAAGAATCGATTTTAATACAAATGATTTCAGATGAATGCCAGAAACGGCGGTAAGGACTGCCCCAAGAAGCTTCTACGCAGGAAAAGGTGCAACGCTGGACCTTGTACAACGGGTACGTAAATCTCAACCCGAATTTAATTAAAATATAAGTGGGAACTGATAATACAGGTTACTTATGTCTCTTATATTAGTTATAATAATAATTAAACAGGATTCTTTTACCATCATTAACAATTACTCAATACTAAAAGCATGATAAGTTCATGGCACTCCAAGGGTTAACCGTTTAAAGGGATCGTTCTCAACGGCATCTTAATATGCCGTTCTCTGCTAACACACGGATATACTTTGTGCCAAAAAGCTTTGACTCCAATCGCAGGCATACTATTCGATATGGGATTACTCCTTGAGCTTAATAACGAGTTTCAGGGTTAGCTTCGTCGATGGTCTTTTGTTGTACAAAGCGCTTCCTTGTTAGATCCCTGTGAATGAATGTATTTATTAACGTGAATTTATGATCTGAGAGAATCAATTGAGGAATATTAAGTACCCAATGGATCCTTAAGTTAGTTTTGTTTATATTGGAATATAAAATACTCCATTTCCCCTACTGGAGTAAGCGATATAAATATCCTACATGTCCTATTTGTCTGTAGCTTCAGGGCTCGAGCTCATTATTCTTTCCACAGGTAACCAATAGTTTTTACTAATTGCAAAATTCATTCCTTCATTTACGCTTTTAGTACAGCGGTAATTATTACAATAGTAGTAATAAAACAGTATAAAAATAGTTCATGACATATCTTGTGGAGCTTTTGGGCTAGACTGTGTACGATCATCTGTAGCTTAATTGTATATCGGTACAAACATTTTATAGCTTGACCGTTTACTAGTACGCCCACCCTGCGATTTATTATGTACAAATACGACCATTTTGTAATTTGATAGTATGTGGGTAGGATCATACAGTAGCTAGTTCTTGCACGCGTATTATCATCCTGTATTATTGTTTACGAGTACGATCCTTAGCTTATTTGTATACGATCATCCTGTAGGTTGATCGCGGAATTGTGATAACCTTGTAGCTTGTAAGATCATCCTGCAACTTGATCGTATACGTACGACCTTCTTGTAACTAATTGCAAAAGGGTACTTTAGCTTGATGATGTCACCTGAAGAGAATTGTTTTTGAGAAGAACAGCGAGTTCCTGAGTTCCTTGTATTTACCACCGTGACTGTAGTGGCTGTGAAACAAAATGAGGGAATATTAAATACCCCTGGATCCTTAGGTTCTTTAGCAGGAAATTTAGGAGTACCATAAAGCTTTGGCTATGTGCAGAAACCTGCCACTCGGTGTAAGAATTAATTTTGAACAGAACAGCGAGTTCCTGAATGAATGTATTTACTACCGTGGATGTCGGTACAATAGTGTCGTTGGAATTACAGCCCCATAGATCTTTAGGTTAGTTATTTTGTATATAAAGGAATAATGGATTAAGATTCTCATCCCACTGGAGTAAAAGGTTTTATACGTTTGTAACTTGCATGGGTTGGAGGCAAAATGACTTATGTTTGCAGCTTCGAAGCCTGAACTTCGTTAAGCAGGACAAGAACAGATTGGGTGATTTTATTAGGCTCATTTTAACAATATTTGATATATTTAACGTTACCTCTATGAGTTTTTAATTCTTTAAACAATTGTTTTTAGGTTATATGAGTGATGAAAACAAAGCGTACGACGAATACGAGGATTCTGAAGAAGGTAAAAATCGAAAAGACGTTTAACAACTTTTCCTTTTTAATTTTTTTCCCTCTTCCAATAAGATTGCAGATATTCAGAATGGTCGGAATGGTCACCTTGTACTCAGCCGTGCGAGTTCTCCATACAGAAACGGGTCAAATTGGCCATATCGGACAAGGAAAGATGCGGCAAGAGGCTGCAGACAAGGATCTGCAACTGTGTAGGAAAGGATTGATTCCATGTCAAAATTCAAAGCATGGAATTGTTGCCTGAAACAATATCTCAGCCTATGATTTTAATTGTCACCCCATTATCATTACAAAAAAAACATATCCATTTAACTAAGTTTTAACTCCTCAGCCCATGAAATAAATTTATATTCACAAATTTTTCAAAATAAACTCCGAACAAAATAATATGGAGTGCTTGTGAAAACTATTGACAATACAACAAGAAATAATAAATATATTTAATGTAACGTTGTATACTAATGTGTGGTGTGTTACAAATTTTATAACAAAAATCTAGACTTGAATGTAATTGTAGTTGTTGAATATTTAAACTAACTTAAATTTAGTGTGATTTTATGTTTTGAATGCTCAGAGGAAAGCATTTCAATTCTTTTATTTATTGTATAGTCTTAACCAATATTTAATGTTCGTCTGTAAACTACGTGTAAATAGTTTGAAGGAATCAGAGTCATAATCATTGTTCTGTTTTACTGCGAGAATGAGGTAATTAATTTCAATTAATACGAAATTTGGTCAAATAAGAGCAAATTGCGGGAGGAGGAAGACGTCTGCTGAATGTTTAATTTGAGCTATAATGAGAATAAGCGGACCATGATTAATTTTGGTTAAACTAATGTTTAAATTAAATTTAAATTGCTAAATAGATTAAAGACATTAAAAATATTTTGAGCTTTTTTAATAACTCCTAATTTCTAAATAAAAGAACTTTTATTTATTTTCATTACTTTGTTGTCCAATATGGTTGATATTTTTGTACCCTACGACTTAACAAAATGTGAAGCAAACCTTCATTTATTACATTAGATAAAAGTACAAGTTGATTTGACAATTAAGGATAGTCTAGCAAACTTGCGTGAATAAGCGATAGTAATACTTTATGTACTTCTGTTGTGTTTCTTCTTTCAAAAGAGTAAGTTTAATGTAGTAAAGTAAGTTGAAACATGGATTCAGGGTAAAAACTTTACCCATTGACAAATAAAAGAAACCTTCATTCAAAGAAGATCTTGGTGCAATGGTCATCCTGGACTCGACAGATTTACAAAATGCATTGGGGAAGTTGAGACCCAACTCAGCAAAACCTTCTGCACAAATATATCAATGTAGGACAGCGTTCGCTCCTTTTCCACTTCACTGTTTATTGGACACTTACATTCATGCCCTATGTTAAAAACATAGTAAATAAAAGGTAAGCTATGTATTGTGTTGTTTCCTATTCAGAGCGTCCTAAGGTTCTGTTGTTGTTGGAGCAGTAGAGCGTCATGTACTCTTGGGCATACTACTGCTGCGAGCCTTGTCGGCTAAGTGCTCTGCCATGCACTGTCGAGAGAGCGCTTAGCGGCAGTCGATTAACTGTATGTTTGAAGCTTTGTATTTGTCAAATAAAGAATGTAGGACCTTCGGCAGCAGTTAGCTAGTCTGTTTTTGAGAAAGTGTTGAGTGCGAGAATGAGCTGTTGAGAGGCTCTGTTGCTTAAGACGTGTGTGGGATGCTTTCTCCATTAGTGATAAAAACTCGTCGTCGAGTCTGATTTAAGCACCATCCTTAAATAGAGTGATGCTTCATCGAAGGTGGAAGACTTGTTAAAGATTATCCTGTAACTTGATCATGTATGATCATCCTGTAGCTTTATATGTAATTCTGATTGACATAGGACCTAGGGCAGCTGTCGAGTGAGCGATGAGTTTGAGCTGTTGACAGAGCATCGTTGCTTGTGGCTTGTGTTAACTGTTTTCTCCATCAGTTATGAGAAGTGATGAGGTTGAGCCCGGGCACCAATGATGAGTGCTGCATATCCATTGGCTGCTGTCTGGAAGAGGGAACCATTTTCGAAGTACTGGTGAAAATGGTGGCAAAATTCACCAATCCTCAGGCAGTCCACACCATTTCCTAGAAGGTCCTGTGTTAATCTTTGTCCAATCCATCTTTAGAACTTGCCTTCATCCAATATCACGTCTTCAGATTAAACAGAAAAAATCGCTTACAGAAGCTTAATAACAAAGCTATGCAGAGTATACAAAATGTCAACTGAATACTAGTACTTCAACTGAATTCTTGTACCATTACCAACACGAACATAATTCACAATGGTAGTTCGGACGTAGTGGTATAGCAGCTACTTTCTTTGCAAGAGAATCCACATAATTCCTACACCTTGGAATCTATTGGAGGGTGAATTTGTTAAAATCATGGCAAGGAATAAAATTCATACAAGATTTAACTGTAGAAACTATTTCAAACACGTCGATATTTTGACTAGTACTAGAAGAGACGTGCATGCATCTGCATAACGGGAGCAATGAGAACATGTCCTACAATTAGCATGGAAAAAGTAGTGGGATTAATCCCTCTACACAACATGGTAATAAGGACAGCGCAGAAAACCATCATTAATATTACCAAAGAGAAACCTCTAACAGGAATAAAATTAAAATGGAGAGAAGCAACGAACTATGGAAAGACCATCCGATACTCATGGCTCCGAGAGACGACATGAACACGATGTTTGAATTTAAGCAAAACTTTCAAATAAATCTAGGTACCAAAAACGAATGGGAACGAAAGGGAAACACCTCTTGTAAGAATGGCACCATCCTTTGGTACACAGATGGATCTAGAAAACAAGAAGGTACAAGGGCAGGAGTATTTGAACCTGGAACCAAATACTCAGAACCCATGGGAAAATACACCAGTATCTTCCAAGTTGAGATTCAACTCAACCTGAGTAAAGGGTACAAAAACAAGAATGTAGCTATCATGTCAGATAGCCAAGCAGTCATCAAAGCACTAAGCTCAAATATCATTAATTTAAGGATGGTGCTGAACTGCAAAACCAAACTAAACATATTAGGTACGCAGAACAAAGTCAGCCTCCGCTGGGTCCCAGGACATATGGGAGTAGAAGACTTCCAGAAAGCGGACACCCGCAAGGCAAGGAACTGCTACACCACTGACAGGACGTGAACCCTTCTGTGGCATAGGAACCCACACTATTAAGGAATATCTCAGACAGAAGGACAAAAAGAAAATGAAAGAACTATGGAATTCATTCATTGGACACAGACAATCCAAGAATCTCCTAACCTATTTTGGAAGAAAAGGAATTACAGAATGTGTCAAGGGAAGCAGGAACAAACTGCGAATCCTAACAGGACACTGCAAGTTAAATGAACATTTAAAGAAGATTGGAATAATCCAAGATGGAACATGCAGATTCTGCAAAGAGGCAGAAAAAACTCCAACACATCTACTAACAAACTGCCGAGCTACACTAGCCCGCAGGAGGAAGTGTTTTGGAATGTATATGTGACCATAGAAAAGCTTCAACCACTGAAACCGGGCTTATTAATCAAGTGTCTTGATGAAATAAGACTCACCGATGTGCTTTAGGCAGAGCACGGAGGATACAATAGCTCTTAAAGGGCGCAGTATACTATACCCTGAAAATTACATCTACATCTACATCTACAGAAACTTGGAGAATCTTATATGCTATCTCGATATTTGGGTGATACTTATTCTATTGACATTTTAAGACGTCCAGTTTTTTTTTTGTTTTTGTTTTTTTTTGTTTTTTTTATTTGTCTTCAAAGCACCAAGATACATTCCTTAGAAGATAAAGTTAATGGGGATGAAAAGCAGATTCGGTATTTGGAAAGCGAAATGAACCTGTATTAACTACATCGATCGACCGCCGAAAAGCGATGGCACAATGAAATTACCTGAAAGACAGCTGGATCTTATAAAATGAAAACGGACACTATGACTACTATGACCGTGAATTAAGAATATTTTAACAATAAAACTTTCCGGTCCACCCATGTTCCATAAAATTTTAAAAAGCTCGATCCGCCCCGACTCGCGTTAAAAACAAACTCCCGGAAGTGAAATATGCCAGCTTTTGAGGCTCAGGGCGAATTCCAGCGAACATTTCAGTTTTAAATTCATAGCCGGGCTCCATTGTTCATTGTTGATTGGCCCTGCATTAAAGACCAGGAGTCACTCACCCTTCCATTGTGGCAATACACCATTGTGGAATTCTCAAATCCGCCCACAGGCGTTTTGTACCATTGATTCTTACACTAACTCGTTCATCTATTATGAAATACGGCTTCTTGTTGCGCCGGTTGCTTACATATGTTTTTCCACCATTTTTCCACCGCACTTTCACGGGTTTTTAGTGTGTGAATAATCCGTTTAATACAAGGTTTTGAGTTCCCGCTACAAATTAAAAAAACGCAATCGACACAATTTTAGAAGTGCAACAGTTTTAAAGTTTATGAGCGTAAAAATGTATCGTAAACATACTGAAATGTCACCACACACCCGACCGTTATTTTCATGTAATACATTAACAGGATTATTCAGAAATCGTGAGATGCGATCTGGTGAGATGTAGGTTTCAGAAAAACATTTTCTTTATCATGCCAACGTTTCGATCTGTATTGAGATCATCTTCAAAGATTTTTCACGTGGAAAAAAGGGAATTTATACAATGCAAAAAATATATTTTTTATATTCCATCAAAGTATTTCTACTCACTCAAAGTGTTTGTTTTCTACGTAAGTGTGCCATTCTTGCGTGTCGTGTTGAGAGTGCCAGTGAAGATGATCTCAATAAATATCGAAACGTTGGCACGATAAAGAAAATGTTTTCTGAAACCTCCATCACACCAGACCGCATCTCATGATTTCTGAATAATCATCGACCACTGTCACTAATCTCCACACATTAACAAGATTGTTTATGCAACCAGCTTTCTTTATTTAAAACCTTCACTATTTTAAGAAGAAAAAGAGGATCGGTGATAATAATACTAATCAGTACTAGCCATCTTATTGTAAATTGATTATCCCATAAATTGATCTTGTTCGACCAACTCGTAGCTCGATTATGTACGATTATCTTGTAGCTTCACCATGTACAATCACCTTGTAGGTTGATCGTTTACGATTACCTCGTATTCTTTACGATTTTACTATATCTTGATTCTGTGTTATCATCCTGCAGCTTTATCGCATAAGAAAATCATCATGAAGCCTGATTTTGTGCGATCAACTTACAGTTTGATCTTGTATTAGTACGATCATCCTATAGTTTGATTGTATGCGATTATCCTTTAGTCAAAATAAAAAAATAATAATAAGTTTGGAGTAATCTTTGAAGGAACGAGGATAAATTTCCGATTTTATTCAGCTTCTCGTGAGCAGATAGATTCTTAAGCCGAAAAACGCCGGAGAAATGTTCTGCAGCATGTCAACGCGATTTCACGCCAGGATTGTTAATGCATACAATGTCGTTTATTAAAAAGGAGTGTTTTTTTAACTCGAAAAAATTATATCTGCTTAATTCTGATGATCAGTTCATGATCTATGAAAGCTCAAATTGAATATCACATGTTCAATCGTATTTTAGATTTATTTTTGGTCTTTAGGCTTTTTGTTTTGGTATTTAAGAAAAAAATTTGGTTTAATTTGTGTGAATTTTAGTTTGTTTGTTATTTACTACTTTTACTACCCTAAAATTACTACCTTTCTTCCAAGTGTGCCCAAGCTTATGAGAATGGGCGGACCAAGAAGATCTGAAAAATATTCAACAATATGATATTGATGATTTTTAATTTAGAAAATTTGCTGTGTCAGGAACGTTGAATGGCATAGCAAATATACAAAAATACAAGATAAAGTTTTATAATTATTCACTCAACAGGGAAAAAATGAATGGAGGTATAAAAAAAATATAAACCGTTATAGAAAAACAGAGAATACAAAGCATTTGAACTAAATAGATATTTATCGACTATTGGGAAAGGATAGGTTTGCGTTTTGCTTGAATAGATGATAGTACTTCAGGGTGGCAGGCCTGGGTGCTATTCTTCACAAAGATTCTTTAAATTCTTTTTATTACATCGAATTTCCGTAGAATGGACACAAATATGACCCGGAAATGGTTTGCAAAGTGTCATAAAATTAGCACTTGCGTAACCGGCTTTAAGGGACCGCCGCTGCAGAAGAGAAGAGGGGGCTCAGCCTAGATCGTCGAAGGTGGGACAGTATAAAAGCCGGGTAAAAAGCCATCCAGGGTAAGAGTCGGTGCATTTTTTTTAAATCGTAAACATGTTGTTCAAGGTAAGAGAAACATTTTACACTTTGATTTGCAACAGGTTGCATTTTGCCAGCGACAAAGGTTCTACGGATTGGAAAATAGGACTACCTAGGAACACACGGACACAATAAATACTGACATATCTTACAAGTAAAGATAATTTTTCTTATTATAATTGATCTTTTTTAGATTGAAAAAAAAATTAAAGTTAGACCGCGCATATTATCACACAATAATTTTAATCTTACTATGAGGTACTGGGGTGAGTGTATGACGTCTGGAGAGTAAAAGTAATTTATTAGCATGAAAGAAAGGGGTTGCTTATAACCCCGCCCCGAGGAGTGAATGTGACCAGACATCTATGTTTGTGGTGATGTATATATGTATATTTAATNCACATTTGAAATCAGAGAGTCAGTAACCAGATCGAGGAGCTCAAATGGCTGCAGTTTAAAACAAAATATGCTCGACAGAAGAGAAAAAGAAGGAAAACACGCAGAGGGCCGGCGATGACCTCAGCTGTCTGTCGGCCTCCCACTTTATTATTATTACTATGAGGTAGAATATCTTAAGTTTTCCAAGTTATAAGACACTCAAAAACTAAAAGTGCCAAATTACTCACGTGTACCATAATTATACCAAGTAAACTTATTATAAACTTGACGTTATTAATTTGTAATAATACTACTTAGGTAAGAAACATTATTTCAACTCGTTAATCAATTATTTCGTGGTAGAGCAATCATGTTTATAAGTGCAACACAATAAATGAACATAAAATTTACACAGAAGAATGAAATAGTTTGAAGTTAATAACGAGTGGAAATGCTTATTAGTACTAGTATAAAATAAAATTGAAGAAGGTGATTATTCAGAAATCGTGAGATCGGTCTGGTGTGATGTAGGTTTCAGAAAAAATTTTCTTTATCGTGCCAACGTTTCGATCTTTATTGAGATCATCTTCAGGGCTCAAAGTGTTTGTTTTCTGCGTAAGTGTGCCATTCTTGCGTATCGTGTTGAGAGTGCCAGTCAACGTTGGCACGATAAAGAAAATGTTTTTCTGAAACCTACATCACACTGGACTGCATCTCACGATTTCTGAATAATTATCGACTAACGGTCACTAAACCACACATTGAAGAAGGTTTTTAATCAATCATAATTTCCACACATATAAAGATCAAAAGTCCAAAAACCAGGCATACAATCAAATCAAAGGTACAAAATAAACATAAATATTTCTGATTTTAACTCACTAGCCTAAAGGACTATTATTGCTTCAAAAGGCAAGAAGTTTAATTTGTAATTAAAATATCTGGCCATGTATTTTTAGATATAACTCGGGATTCTTGTTTTTGTTCTGAGAGTCAACGGACGCCCTAAGTCCTGATGGCCCGGTCCGCCAACTGTCATTGTTTTCTCATGTTTCGGTCCGTTGATAGTCGACATTTCGCCAACCACAGTCAGACCATGGCAAAAGCTTCTGTTGGTGGCGAAAGAGCGATACGCGTCTTGCCAAGATGGACGACGAGATGAACTGACACTGTCGAGTAAATATCTCCACTATTTAAAAATGCTTGTATTTTAAATAGGCAATAAAAACAAGCTACAGAAAATATAATTTTGATGGGAATTCATTTATCCTAAAGTTCTCTAGTAACTAAAATTTGTTCAAGTTTTTTAAAGTGGGCTCTGGCAAATGATAATGCTTTAGGTGCTTGGTTCGTCAGTGGTACTTAAATCGCCAAGAGTGCTGTTATTTTTTAATATTTTAAGCAAAAAAAATTAAATATTACTAACTACTACAATTGTGACATTTCCTCCTGTGATCTGCAGGTGATAACCCTATTGATCGTTACGATCATCTTGATCTGCCTGTTCTAGCAGCGTTCTCTTCGGACTCACTGAAGATGGTGAAATGTCATGGTTCTAACAGACCAATCTAGAGAAACCAGAATGATTAATGATATGACCAAATTACTGTTACAGTATTAAAAACCTTTTGACATTGGCAAATCAAAGTTTTCTATTTCTTTGTTTTAATTTATTCATATTTTTTGTATAATAAAGTTCACATAATTCGCGAATTATCTTTCTTCAGCCTATTATTTACATAGGTAATGACAAAAAATTAATAATAAATTGTCTATAATCATCCGTGAAAAGTTGTGGAATTTGATAATGAACGAAAGATTTTATTACCATTTTTTTATTGATTTTACATATCAATGTTCAAAATATCTTTTTCGTGAAATCCAATCATTGATTCCTCTTACAGAAGATTTAGCGACAAAAGAAAACAACTTTTTTTTTATTAAAGAGAAAATATAATTGATATTGCGTACAATGTATGACTTATTTTTGAAAAGTGTTCTTTGAAAAAATCGATATTATTTTATACAAAGAAGATCCCTTAGAAAATAATAACCCTTTATTTCCAACTACTACCTAACTAATTAATCATAAAATTTTCCGATAATTTATCACTTAAAATAATATATATACCTACCATAAATACATACCATTCATACAAAATAGCAGTAATAAAAAGTATACAATTTCGATATATTGGATTAATTTCACGGTTTTAAGGATAGGATTGACAAGATTTTGTGATATTTGTGATTTAACGCCTTTGACAGGCTCATAGCGAGGCTAAGCGGACCAGATATACATAATTGGATCTCACATTGGCATTTTCAGGAAAAAATATAGTGGATCATTAAGCAGCATATTATTTATTATTCTCGTTATTAATTTTACGATTTACGATTATTTTTAAAAAATGTATATAGATATTCCTTAGAATGCAATAACCCTTTATTTTAAGACAATTCCTTTTTTTTAGTTTTATAAAACTGTTGGTTGGTTACTAAATTGAAATATCAACGTAGTTTATAAAATTTATAATAAATATATAAAGATAATAATAAATAAAAGTGTATATTTTCGTTAAAATCGGGTAATTACACCGCTTTAACGACTGAATGGCTTGATTGTGAGATTTTTGTAACTGTTTGTATGCCTATGGCAGGCTAGCAGGGAGGACAAGCGGACCAGTAATGATTTTTTTATTGAAGTGCTGTCAACGGTTCTTCTTGTGGACAATAGTTCTCGAATCTAAAGGATGAAAGACTTTTTAATAAATAAAGTGTCAGTTGAATAGTGAAAAAGAAAACTGTCAGCTCAAGCCAAATGTTACTTTTCTCAATCAAAATAGTTACGTTGTCTATAAACGTACCGTAACAGCCTGTATATAACAATTGTCAAAATAAAACCATAAAACGTCTAAACTATGGAAAAAGTATAAGAGAATTGCGCAATTTTTTTTCATAAAAGGAAATCTCTTGTGGTGGCCGAAGCCGCGCCCGTTGTAAACGGAGCGGAAACTCGTTATTCAATTTTTCAGCTCGTTCCATTTATAAACACCCGGGCCGGAATTATCTAACGTTTTGTTTTCCCAGTGGGAAAACCGGAGAAATTAAATAGGAAACTGCTAAACCGCCGAATTTTGCATTTCCTTTGTGGCTGCTCTTCACCACGGGTTTCATCCCGCTTTCCAAGCACGGTAATCACAGGGTCGAGGGAGGGACAAATGCAGTTTCGGACCAAACCGCATTTGTATAACTGTCTGAAGCAATTACATGCATGACTTGTCCCACATTCTCGCAGTGTAATGGTATTTGGTCATTTTTCGTTCAATGACTCAGTCTATTGGCTCAAAAGTTGGAAGAAGCTATGGCCCACCTCTATCCAGTGCCTTGAGTTATCACACCATCATTTCTTCTCATTAACAAGAGCTGGATGTATTTGAAATTGAAATACATGTTGCAATATCTTTAAGTGTAACTTTCACACAACATGTCTGCAAATCATTTAGGCAAAGGCAGATCCTTGTAGACAAAGATATTGCCTAAGGTATCAAAAATAATTCTCCCCCTGAATGATTAATCATACTGTTTACACCACAGTCCCTTTTATTCAAACAGCTTAAAGAATGGAGAACAAAGAGTTTCTAGAACCGCTTCATCAATCATTCATCATAGGACAAAAGGAAAATCCATTCATAGGTTTTCATTCTCTTCGATACTTCATGCTCTTAACATTGATTATAACCAGCATGAAAATTCACAAAGGATAAATGAAAAATGTTCTGTTGCAGTTTGTGCTCTTCTGTCTTGTCGGAGTTGCAGTGGGTCAAGGAGAAGACTTCGACTACGGCGGAGGTAGTGGATACAGGAAACCGCCTCCAGCGATACTCATGCACAAGCAGGCTTTAACACAAGACGGGGCTTTCAACTTTGTTTTTGCAGCTGAGAATGGATTGAAACAAGGTAGGGAATTTGGACAGGAAGGATGGTGGCTCGATGTCACTTGGTCCTCTTTGATTTGGTCATAAGTCATATTAACCAGTTGCAACTCTTAGGGTCTCCCTACTTTAATTGTGTTATTAATTTAATAAAACAAAGCAGAATTTATCAAGTGCATCTAAATCAGCATTAACTACAGTACAAACAGCAAGGACTACAACTAAAACCAGATATATTTATCCAGTACTTCATTGACAATGTACCAGATGAATATATGAATCCTCACAGCTAATCATATAACAAACGTTTGATGTATGGAATAAGTGCGTTCTAGACTTCAATTTATTCAAAATTGATCCCTTTTGATCCTCTCGCTGTTTACCAGTCTGATCATTTTGGGACAAAAACAGGCAAAAACAAGAATAAGCTGGAGATGACGAATGTCATGAATGCCTTTGTGCTCATAGTACATTTTTTATAAAGCCCCTTTATCCACTTTTTAACCATAGATGACATATTGACATATAGTCATGTCAAACAAAATGGCTATTAATACAAAATATACATAATTGTATAAAATATACTGTTTATTATGTGCTAGTCTAGTCTGACACAGGTGAGGTTATCAGCATTAACAATCAGTCATACTAGGTTCACAAGGTATTTATTTCCAGGTGAAACCATAGCTCCAGATGGTACAAGGACCGGTGCGTATTCTTATGTTGATCCTTCTGGTCAGACTGTTTCGGTCAAGTACTCAGCTGGTAAGGACGGATTTAAGATCATCGAGGGATCCCATGTGCCCAAAACTCCCCCACATGTTGTTCAGCAGCAGAGAGAAGCTCTGCAGGCAAGCTACAGGTCTCCTCCTCCATCTCCTCCACCTCAACAGCATTCTCCCCTTAGAAGCCCCTTCTCCCAGCAGGACTACGACGGTTCACCTTCTCTCAGCAATTATAGGTCATCCAGGCCACAGCATCAAGCCACACCTGTGTGTAATAGAGGTATGTTGTATTATTCCTAAATGTACTCATTGAATATTTGTTTCCAGGTCCATGAATACACACCAGGCCCTGAAGATGAACATAAAGGACCTCATAGTTTTGGAAAAGGTTATTCCTTTGAATTCGCAGGATAAGCCATATTTTTAAGAAAACTTTTATTTGTTGTTTGTTTTTTATTTAGTAATTATATTTTTTAGTACAATATAAAGCGTTTTACTTATTTACTTCCTTGCTTTCATATTTATCATATAAAATATTTAATCATGTTTAATTTAATCATTTAATTTTGGATAGGTATTACAGAAAATATTGGCTTACAAAAATTAGTGATTACTGATTTATATAAGTTCAACGTTCAACCCTGCACACATTTGCAGAATAGAACTTATGACTTAATCACATACATCGGGTTTTGGCAGTCCGGGGTCTTATCCATCCCACTGCTGAAATTAGACACCAGGGGCTGTCAAAAGCTAATACATTTCAGCTGCCAACAAGCTTCTCACTCACTCTTAAATACATTCTTTCTTATTTACATGCCGTTTACTCAGGGTGGTTAAGTACTTGATATTCCTCCATCACCCTCTAGAAATATTATATAACTAATCTAATTGAGGGTACTACTTCTGCCATGTACCCTCTCATGCTACACATTCACACTAATAAATACATTCAGTCTCAACACATTCAAAGAAATAAAAAATGAGATATCTATAAAGTACTGCATACAGTAAAACAGCCGTATTTCCTACAAAAATCAGAACAGGGGGCCTAAATATAGATATTCTCATTTAGGGTGACATTCCTACATGCTCTCTATATAGAACCTATGAATGACACCCTTCAATTATTAAATTAAAAATCATTTTTGATCACATGATTAAAGATAGGCCATGCGGGTTGACACCCGGACACTTACTTTTGGCCAACACTCGCATATGTATCCAGCATGTAGAAAAAGGTTGTTCGATTATCCCACTTAACATGTTCCAACTTCACCAGCATTTGCATTTCCACTTCACCAGTACATTGGCATACAGCACCAGGGCATTGGCCACCGCATTGGTGATGTGGTTCTCTTTTATAAGAAATGTATCCACCAGGCTGAGACAGCAGTTGCCACCACCACGACATATTTCAGCATGGCCCTAAATAGTGACATTCATTGGATCCATATAGACAGTATGTAGGAATACCACCTGATATGAGAATTGCTTAAGCACAGCAGTGCCTATTCAGATTTTTAAAGGAAACAGGGCTGTTTTACTATATAGTACTTTATAGAAACATATCTCTCATGTTTTTGTGTGTATATTGAGACTGAATGTATTTATTACCGTGAATGTGTGAAAGGGATATTGAATACTCCATCACCCTAACTTAGAGAACAGTTAATTAAGGTTTTTAGTTGAGATAAAAAAGTCAATGGCACGAGCGGGATTCGAACTCATGATCTTTGGCTTGATATGCCGCTGCTCTACCACTTGAGCTATCGTGACCTCGATCCACTCGGACACCAACTTCCCATCTTGACTTTTTATCTCAACTAAAAACCTTAATTAATTGTATGATATTAATTGGTCAAGCGGACCATGAAACTAGTGAATTTAATAATTTTAAAATGAAGTATCCTTCACTAAAGCTGGTAGAGCAGCGGCGTATCAAGCCAAAGATCGTGGGTTCGAATCCCACTCGTGCCATTGACTTTTTTATCTCAACTAAAAACCTTAATTAATTGTATGATATTAATTGGTCAAGCAGACCACGAAACTAGTGAATTTAGAGAACAGTATTTACATAGGAAAGAGAGTGAAAATTAAGAGTGAATGGGTGTGGATCTAGAAACTGATTGTGTTTGGGGTTGAAATGACCTAACTGTTCATAGGCCCTGGAGTCCAACTTTGGTAGCTGGATAGATAAGTTCATTGTCTGACCCTGGACTGCCAACAACCAAGGTGGGTGATTCTTGAGACCTGCTAATAATTTATTATAAATTGAACAAAAGCTGGAATTACTAGCGAGATGTGTGAAGTGATAGGCTCAATTCTATACATGTGTATGTATGTATACATGTGTGCAGATTGAGCTTATATAAACAATAATAAGTAAAATTATTATTTACTAACATGTTCACATAATCCAATTTTTTGGGATGCCAAGTTTAAAAAATTGGCAAAATATGTTTATGTACCTTATGTACCTCTGATCGTCCTGTTCTGTCATGTCGATTTTGTCTGCCAGATGAGCTTCAATATTTTTCTATCATCAGGGACTGGAATATGATGATTAGAGATCATCAAACTACAGTTTGTATGTTTGCTATTGGAATTACTTATTTATTACAACAATAAGATTGATTTTTTTAAACTAGTAGCTTAAATCTAATGACAAGTTATTTAAAACAAATATTTGTTTTTTCAATTATGAAAAATTTCACTAACAATAAAAAAATCTTAAGAAGAGACATTAAAGATGAACACATGAAAACGTTTATGCACCTTAATGAAAACTTATTCACAATGAACAACCCTGCCTCTAGGAGGATGGCATTGTCATCCAGAAATCAAAAACCTATGCCAATGAGATCCCTGGTTTGAGGGATGTATTTCTCAATAATTTCTTGACATAGCAGACTGCAGTGAGGTTGCCTTAAGCAATATGGAGTCCTGTTTGTCTTCCAGTGTAAATCTCGATAAATAGTTAATTCAGATGATTATATGGATTTGTAGAGAACTGAGAAGATTGCTTTGTTATCACAGTCTTGAATCAGGTTTTGATCAGATGAAAGAAAAAATTTGCAATTGAAAACAATTTATGAAATTAAAATACAATGCAAAAATAATACAGGTTTTGAAAAAGCAGTCAAAACCTTTTTTACTTTTATATAATAAAGAAATTTATTTGAAATATTTTCCAACACAATCTAAACATCTTTGGCAACTTATAACTTTGTAATAAGTGCTTTTATTCTGCTGACAAAAAATTTTATTTCGACTCACAATAGAGTCTTGGAAGGCACTTTCATCTTCACCGCATTCTCTAAAAATTTTATCCTTCCACAAGTGATCAAAATGGCTAAAAAAGTTTTCACAGGGTTAGCATTGCACCATGTGGCCTGGCATTAATTGAATTATTGTGAAGAAGATTCCGATTTGCCCCCTTACCCCTTTACCAATGCTAGACAAATCCCATTTTTACATGTAATTTGTCAATTTCTTGGCAATATTTCTCTGCTGTGATAGTTTCACCATAATTCAGGAAATTATAGTGAACAACCCTAGCAGCACACCTCCAAACAGTCACCATAACATTTTTTGGGTATAGATTTGGTTTCGGGAAGTGTTTTGGCACCTCATCCTTGTCTGGCCACTGTACCTGTTATCATACAGAATTCATTTCTCACTGCACATGATGATTCGATCAAGAAATTGGTCATTTTAGTGGCACAACAGAAGAAACATGCAAATTTCAAAGTGTCGATTACATTGGGCTTCAGTTAGTTCATGTGGTACACATTTGCTGAGTTTTTTAATTTATCACTTTGCTTCAGATGGTGAACAACGGTTAAGTGGTCAATACTAAGCTCTTCACCAATTTTCCATATTGCCTTATGTGAATTTTCTTCAATCAACATTATGAGTTGGTCATCATTCACAATGGAAGGCCTACCGCGACCTTTCTTGTCTTTGAGATCGAAATCTTCAAGACGAAATCTCTAAATCGCTTCACTCTGCATTCGTTAATGCTTCCCTTCCCCCAAACTGTATTGATGTTATGCCCTTTTTGGGCCGCACTTCGCCTAAATTTAGATTTGTACAAATAAATTTGACAAAAATCAAGTTTGAACATATTTAATTTCTCAGGTCCTCGCTCTTATAAAATTCAACATAAACTAAAATTCTGTAGAAACAATAACATTGAAAAGTATTTATTATAATGCATAAATTAAATTTGAGGATTTAGCTTTATTTACATGATGAGCACCTGCGTAAATAAAACAAATTTTCAAAACCTGCATTAATTTTCACCTACCTAATAAAAATATCTTAGATTGCAATTGTTGAAAGTTTAAATTTCCCGCCAGTTTATCAAGAAAGCCAACTTTATCCCTTTTTGTTTAACAGCAAGTTCCTAGGAGTTAATTTTGTTTTATTAACAATAATTTAAATAATTAATTTAAATTTATTTTAAATAACTAAGTTAAAATTTTAGTAATATTTATTAGATGGTTTAATTTAATTTTTTTTAGAAAAATAAATGATGATGTTGAAGTATAACATTTTTTACTTTATAAGTTTTTTTTATATTGACATTAGTGTTTTATTGTTTTATTTTGATCTAATTCATGCGTGTTTCTTTTTGGAAATCGAGCCAAATCGAATTACGTGTCTGTGTGTATACAGTGGTATGGTATAGAAGATGAATAATGATTTATCTTTCACACGTACCAAAAGTTGGGTTTTTCGTGAAGAAATAAAATTCACAAATGTTAAGAAATCCTTTTAATTGGGCTTAAACGGCCAGAAGGGTTGTTTTAATTTGTAAACTTCTGAAGCAAAGAGATTGGAAGGGGCGCCGTGTCTGTCGACCTCTTTGTATCGAAGGAGGTCCTGCCTGGGTTTCAGTTCGCCAGACTTGACCGTCATGAAATCACACGCCGATCATGGTCCAAGAATCGCCGTCACGGCCGAACATCGTCTCCGTAGAAATCAGGGGCAAACCATAGGTAAATAGAGATTTATTACGATCTAATAACGGGGAAACGACCCCACAATCTCTTCCCAACTTGGATATTTTGAAACCGGACCGAAATTGGCCCCCGCCTCGTCGGAAAATCGTTTTAAACGGAACGGCCGTTTTGCACTCCTCGCCGGCCTCTCTGGCCGACCGTAATGGCGGATCGTCTCTATCCCACCTCTACCCAAACGCAAAAACATGCCGGTTTTTCATACTAGTCTATCCTTTCTCCTTTAAATTGTCTTCATATTTTAATAAGACATGATAAATATCCTTACCAATCAGAAAATAACAAAAAAATAGTTAAAACAATATTTAAACATTGCATAATTTTATATCATAACCTTACTTTTATATCATAATTTCTATCCTTAATTACTAGAACTTATACCAAACGAATTTGCAAATTAAGAATATATATATTTTTTCTATTTTAACAATAGACCTAATGAAAACTAAACATTGAATTAAATCTATTTCTTAATACGAAGATTGATTAACAATATCAAATTATGTGCCATTTAACATGAATATTCGCGAAGTTGGAGACGTCCTAGAGGCGGGCGTTGTTCAACAAGACCGTCCTTAACGCAACGTGCGTCGATATAAAAATAGGAAAACAGACACAAAATTAAGTTAACAATTTTTTAATGTGTTGATGGACTAGATGAGCCTAAATAAGCGAGCATTAACAGGAAGTAAGTAACTAATTCCGGCTTTTTATCCGTCTGATGTGGCACTAAATCGTATTTCCCACGAGTGTTCAACAAACGTGTGAAGGCTCACACTATTGGAAAGAGAATTTATTAACAGTTAATAGTGTAACAGTTAATCTATCAAAAGGTGTAATATATTGTTGGAATATGCACATTTGTATTTTGGACATTAACGCATTTTAAAAGTAAGTTGACGCTTTGATAAATTTATACTTATTATAGTGGGTTTTCTTCCAGGTGAGATAATAGTCAAGTTGATTCTCTCACACCCTTATAAACATTTCATACTGCTAAGGATGGTTAGTACAAAGTAACATTATTGGAGCTAAACACATTTTAAACTAAATAGAGGCTTGCAAAATTCATATTGTAAATGTGTGGGTTAGTAAGAAGAGGATTTTTTGATCATATTCACACTGCTTGAAACATAAACTTCTAGGGCATTAACAATTTTCATTTGAAACATAGTCTTTTAGTTGTAGAATCACCTGTGTCCTTTCTGTCTATTAAAGTAAAACCTCAGCGATCAGGCATATCCAAATAACTAAGTTTCCTTAATTGGGCATAAACAATTTTAATTTGGAACTTGAATGAGACGTATTATTGTAATTGGATCATTTTTCTCGAAAACATAATAAGTAAGTTGATTCTTACACACCTTTATTACAGTTTATTCTATTTGAATATCCAATATCCTGGTTCGAGTTACATTTCTTGGGCATAAACTTAATAGAGGCTCTTTATTTTCATACGTATTGTAAATGAGTGGGTTTTCAGCCATTTATTTCTAAGCTGAGAGGCCTCTCAGTCACTTAAGTTTCCTTAATTGAGCATAACAGTTTTGATTTGGAACGTGAACGAGTCGTGTATATTTAATCTGGTTGTAATAGGATCGTTTTTTTCAATGGCAAAATAATAGGTAAGTTGATTCTCGCACACCCTCATAACAGTTTATACTGTTCAAATATCTGATATCCTTATTCGAGTTTAAATTCTTAACATAAACGCATTTTAAAAGTAAGTTGAGGCTTTGATCAGTTTATACTTATTGTAAATAAGTGGGTTTTCTCCCAGAGGAAATAATAGGCAAGTTGATACTCTCACACCCTTATATAAACAATTCATACTATTAAGGGATGGTTAATATATCCATAATATTTTTTCGAGATAATATTGTTGGACATAAACACATTTTATGCTAAATAAAGGCTTGTATGAATTCATACTGTAAATGTGTGGGTTAGTAGAAGTGGATTATTTTGTTATATTCATATGCTTGAAAGATAAACTTCTAGAGCATTAACAATTTTAATTTGGAACATAGTCTTTAGATATTTCATATGGATGTAATAAGGCTTATCCCACACAAATTAATAGCCAAGTGAATTTTTTTATAGTCACATTGTTTGAAAGATAAAACTTTTAATAAATTAACTTATAAACAGTTTTTACTGTTTGCACATGTGACAGCCTTGTTCAAGTATATTCTTTGACATTTTTAGCTAAACAGGAGCTGGTATAAATTATGTAATTGGATGGGTTAGTGGCCAAGTGGATTTTTGAAATATTCACACTGCTTGAAAGATAAAACTTTTACCAGGGAGACCTCTTCAGACTATTGAATTAATAAAACAGTCTTGTCCAAACTTTTTTCTTTCTTTTTAATTGGGTATAAACAATTTTAATTTAAAACTAAAATGTGTCTCATTTATTGAATCAGGTTGTAATTGTGTTGTTTTTCTTTAAAAAATGAGAGGTAAGTTGATCCTACACGTGTGTATGTTGTACTGTCCCACAAGCAGATATCCTTGTTGTTAATATTCTTAGATAAAACACACATTTTAAATGTGTAAACATAGAAGCCTTTATAAATTGATGCTTCCTGTAAATCAGTGTTTTCCTCCAGGAAAAAATAATGGGTAAGTTGATCCTTTGGCCACACCTTAATAAATAGTAAGCACCGTTTGAATATCCAACAGCCTTGTTCAAGTTAAAATTCTTAGATGTAAACACATTTTAAGCTAAATAGAGGCTAGTATAAATTCAAACTGTAAATGGATGGGTTAGTAGGCAAGTGGATTTTTGTAAATGTTCACATTGCTTGAAAGATAAAACTTTAAACTAGGAAGGCTTCCCTGAACCATTAGATAAATAAAAACAGTCTTGTCCAAACCTAATTCTTAATTGGGCCTAAACTTTTTAAATTTGAGACTAAAAGTGACTCGTATATTTAATCTGGTAGTAATGTGTAATTTTTCTCCAAAGAAAAATAGCTAGTTGTGATCCTTATTACTGTTCGAATATCAGGCATCCTTTTTGTGTTAATCTGGACATAAAACACATATAAAACCTAATCGAGGCTTTAATAATTTTATACTTATTGTAAATAGGTTTTCTTCCAAGGGAAATTATAAGCAGGTTGATCCTTCGTACATGGTCACACCCTGACAAAAGTTTGTACTGTTTGAATATCCAACATCTTTGTTCAAGTTATTAAACTTTAGGCATAAACACATTTTTAGCTGAATAGGGGCTAGTATGAATTCATACTGTAAATGGATGGGTTAGTAGGCAAGGATTTTTGTAAATGTTCATACTGCTTTGAAAGATAAAACTTTTAACCAGGAAAGCATCTTGGGACTATTAGATTAATAAAATAGTATTGATGTAGTTTATCGACCAGCTATTTCAATGCTCTCAGTTATGACCACAAACCCGATAACTGAGAGCATAAAATAGTATTGTCCAAGCTATTTTTTTTTTTTTTTTCTTATTTAGGCATAAACAATTTTAATTGAAACTAAAATGTTTCCTGTATATTTAATATGTTTGTGTTGTTAAACAGTTTATACTGTTTGAATATTCGACATTTTATTAATTTATACTTACTGTAAATAAAAAATAATATGCGTGATTGTTCATGAAATGTTCATACTTCTTGAAAGATAAACTTCTTACCTGAGAGTCCTGCTTTGATTTTTTTCCTTCCTCCTTTGCGTAAGCAATTAGCTCAAAGAAAGATTATTAGGTTAAAACAGTCGTATTCAAACTACTTATTTCTTAATTGGGCATAAACAATTTAATTTGAAACTAAAATTAGTCTTACATACTTAATCTGGCTGTAATTGTGTAATTTTCCTCTGATTTAATGAATTTGATTTTTTTTTTATTTAGTTTTTGCCACACCTAAAAAATTTCATCAGATTTAGGTCAGACATATTCTATTTCACTACGTTATTTTTGTTTATAATTTAGTTTAGTAGTTTAGTTTACAAATTTTGAAGATATCTAAAAACGGCACATTGCGTTTAAAAGGAAATAGTTCACTACTCTACTTAGTCATATATACAGTCCTTCAGGCCTAAAGATTTACTGGAGCACATATCTCATGTGACCAAAATTCAAAAGTATTGTCTTAGTTGTGTTTTTTAGATTTTTTAAAAAAAATTTATGATAGTACCAAAGCTATAAATAGTCCTTTGTCATTTTCAAACTGTTTTTTTCCCCCACATTAAACATGTAGGCAATGGGGTTAAATCTTCAACTAATGATCTAGTGCATTGTAGATATAAAATACATTTGCATTTTGATTTACAATTTTTAATAGTAGGTTGACATTAAGTTTAATCATTTGTCTCAAGTGTTTTTCCTTCCTTGTTTTTTAAGCCATGATCAAGGTAAAATTGAACTAATCCTACTATTTTTTCTTAAATTGTTTACATTTTACATTAACTAGTTTATGAAAGATAAGTTTTCCTATTTTGAATTTTAGATTAATTGACTACTTTTCTACTCACAGACACTCTGGATCACCGTATGGTATGCTTTTTCATCAAGGCCATACTGTGATCCAGAGTATTGTGGTAAGTCTTTCATTTACTCGTGTATGGTCATCGTGATCCACATAATCTAGGTAGCAGAACAACATATCTAACTTAATCTTATTATAACAAACTGATACATTATACTTATTCTTTAAATTTTATTTATAATTATACTTATAATTATTCTTTAAATTTTCGATAAGTGAGAAATATCTTTTTTTTTATTAGTTCATAAAATAGCTACATTAACTTTGAGTCAGTTAACACAAGAGTCAGACAATAAACAAATTTTTCTCATATACATGTAGATAATTCTTTAGCATGGATTTAAAAATAATAATATAGTAATCATGGGTTTTAGTATCTTATAATATTGACAGTTAGGATTAAAAATGTTCAACATAAACAACTAATTTCCTTTCCTCCCCCCCATGTCCTACCGACCTGAG